AGCTAATAAAGACAAACCTTCCCAATATGTTGATAAATATAATACACTCTGTATAACAGCTAGTGAAGACAAACCTTCCCAATATGTTGATAAATATAATACACTCTATATAACAGCTAGTGAAGACAAACCTTCCCAATATGTTGATAAATATAATACACTCTATATAACAGCTAGTGAAGACAAACCTTCCCAATATGTTGATAAATATAATACACTCTGTATAACAGCTAGTACAGACAAACCTTCCCAATATGATGATAAATATAATACACTCTATATAACAGCTAGTGAAGACTAACCTTCCTAACATGTTGATAAATATAATACACTCTATATAACAGCTAGTGAAGACAAACCTTCCCAATATGTTGATAAATATAGCCGCCTTGTTTCTATGCTTATCCCAAGGATATTGTACACAATGTAAAACATTATAGACCAGGTTGCCCACATATTCTGTACGTGGTTTTTACAGCACAGACCAGATTGTACACGTATGTTGGGCGTGATATTACCGCACATAACGGTTTCACACGTATTTTGGACATAGTTATTACAGCATGTACCAGGCTGCACATGTTTTTTGAACGTAGTTTTTACAGCACATCATAAGTTGCACACGTATTCGTGACGTGGTTTTACAGCATAGAACAGGTTGCACACGTATTCTGGACGCGGTTTTACAGCATAGAACAGGTTGTTCACGTATTCTTGACGTGGTTTTACAGCATAGAACAGGTTGTTCACGTATTCGTGACGTGGTTTTACAGCATATAACAGGTTGTACACGTATTCTTGACGTGGTTTTACAGCATAGAACAGGTTGCACACGTATTCTGGACGTGGTTTTACAGCATAGAACAGGTTGTACACGTATTCTTGACGTGGTTTTACAGCATAGAACAGGTTGCACACGTATTCTGGACGTGGTTTTACAGCATAGAACAGGTTGTACACGTATTCTTGACGTGGTTTTACAGCATAGAACAGGTTGCACACGTATTCTGGACGTGGTTTTACAGCACATCATAAGTTGCCCACGTATTCTGAAGAGACTTAGAACACTATTATTTGTACTTTACACACGAAGTTCTGATGATTTACAGTAAACTTACCTACTGATACAAAACTTAACATAAACAACAAAACCACGAATCTAAAATATTAAATGGGTTTGTGGTGTTTCAGTAACAATAAACAGTGAAACCTAATCCACAAAATTGTTTGGTACAGGAAGAACCTTACCTCATGTACAAGAAGTCGGAACCAGGAGAAAATCTAGTTGGAAACGACAGGTTTGAAGGATTTTGTAAAGATCTGGCAGAGCTGATAGCAAAACATCTGAACTTCGATTACATTTTAAAGCTGGTAAACGATTCAAACTATGGTGGCCAAGATCCAAACTCTCCTGCTGGATGGAATGGGATGGTTGGAGAACTTATTCGTAAGGTAGGTCATTACCTCTCGTGCAAGACCTCAGGTAAACCATCATAGTTACGTCAGCTGACACATCAAGTCATGTAGGGGTGGTGGGTTAGAAAGTCCATAGTTACGTCAGCTGAAAGATCCAGTCATGCAGAGGGGGAGTTAGAAAGTCTTTAGTTATATCCAGCATCTAGTTATCTAGTTGTTCTAGCAACTAGATACTGTAACATAAATCCAGTTGTTACCTCCGAAGGTGGACGAAGGTTATGTTTTAACCCCTATGTGTGAGTGTTTGTCAGCAAAGATTTTTCGAAAATGGCTGAATGGATTTCGACGAAATCTGGTTATACACTTGGAATATAACCCAACTTAGAAGTGATTTTTTTTGGGGGGGGGGGGGTCGAGGTCATAGGTCAAGGTCACGAACATATAAATTCCCCCTATCTGTGAACCCGATTTTTCACACTATTAAAAAATAATCGGATTTTAATGAAACTTTGTGGACATATGTAGAGTATTATTTTTGTGGACATATGTAGAGTATTATTTTTGTGGACATATGTAGAGTATTATTTTTGTGGACATATGTAGAGTATTATTTTTGTGGACATATGTAGAGTATTATTTTTGTGGACATATGTAGAGTATTATTTCTCGTTCTGCCAAAAATGGACAAACATTTTTTGGAGAGCCTAATGTGATCAACGCAGCGTGGCGGAGGTAAGCGTTCTACTGAGTGTCGCTCTATTTATTTAATTTTATTAGCTGTTGTACAATATTTAACGTCTTATTTTTTTTTCTACTTTTCTTTAATGAAACAAGCGAAAGTAACGATCCGTAGTTTATAATATTAGTATTAGTATTCCAGTTCATTCGAAATCTACAATACAACTAGAATACTGTTTACAAACTAAAACAAATTGATAGTTTATAAGTAAAAAAAAACATTTCGTCGCTCTAAACAGAAAAACTTTCTTTTTTTTTTGTTCTAATTTCTCTCATCGCTTGGAATTTTGTTTTTTTTTATCAAGACGCTACAAAAAAATAAATCATTCTCAATATCGAACTCTTAGTGCGGAGACTGTTATGTATATTTTTGAACATCAGAACCAAACTTTATAATGTAGAGTTTTCTAAACATTTAACCTACTTTCTTTACGATTCGTCATGACGACAACAGCTGTATATGGTCACGCTATTGTTGTATCAGTTAAACCCCGTCCTTACTATTTGCAGGAGGCGGACATGGCTATCGCCCCTCTGACGATTACCTCAGCAAGGGAACGTGTTATTGATTTCACTAAGCCTTACATGTCTCTCGGTATCAGTATAATGATCAAGAAGCCGATGAAGAAGAAACCTGGAGTGTTTTCCTTCATGAATCCCTTGTCGAAGGAGATCTGGATGTGCATCATCTTCGCCTATGTTGGAGTGTCGGTCGTGCTGTTTCTTGTTAGCCGGTTTTCTCCGCACGAATGGCGGCTCGAGGACACCTTCCTGGGCCAGTCGGTGTCCAACGACTTCTCCTTAATGAACAGTCTCTGGTTTTCTCTAGGGGCTTTCATGCAACAGGGTTGTGACGTCTGCCCCAGGTACGATGTGCCCCCTCTAGTAGATGACTAGTAGCTCTCAACGTGTGTTCAAAATTTAGTTTATGTAGCTTGATCACAATAGATATACATTTACAACGTATGTACCGAGTGACTTCAAACACTCAAGTAAGTATGTTGATTGGAAAAGAAAAATGATGTAGTGTGAAGACCAGGAGAAAAATATAAGATGTAGTGTGAAGACCCCCTGGTCTTCACACTACACCTTATATTTTCCACTAAATTATAAGGTGTAGTGTGAAGACTAGGGGAAAATATAAGGTTTAGTGTGAAGACCGGGGAAAAATATAATGTGTAGTGTGAAGACTAGGGGAAAATATAAGGTGTAGTGTAAAGACTAGGGTAATATAAGCTTTAGTGTGAAGACTAGGGAAAATTATAAGATGTAGTGTAAAGATCAGGGAAAATTATAAGATGTAGTGTGAAGTCCAGGGAAAATATAAGGTTTAGTGTGAAGACTAGGGAAAAATATAAGATGTAACGTGAAGACTAGGGAGAAATATAAGATGTAACGTGAAGACTAGGGAGAAATATAAGATGTAGTGTGAAGGGCCAGTTTAACAGTAAAAAGGTAAGTGGACGTAAAGTTAAAAGTATTGTGAGTATAAAACTAGCCATATAGAGGTTCGGCATTTAATGTTACGTTAAGAGTCCATAGACAGAAAAGCTCGACAAATACAGTTGGCAGATAGGTGTTTCAAAAAACCATCAAAATACAGTTGGCAGAAAAGTATTTCGAAAGTACATAAAATACAGTTGACAAACAAGTTTCTCAAAAGTCCATAAAAATACAGTTGGTAGACAGGTGTCTCAAAAGTCCATAGAAATACATTTGGGAGATAGGTGTTTCAAAAGTTCATAAAATACATTTGGCAGATAGGTGTTTCAAAAGTCCATAAAAATACAATAAGCAAACAGGTGTTTCTAAAGTCCATAAAATACAGTTGACAGACAAGTTTCTCAAAAGTACGTAAAAATACAGTTGGCAGGCAGATGTTTCAAAAGTACATAAAATACAGTTGGCAGACAGGTTTAACAAAAGTCCATAAAATACAGTTGGTAGATAAGCATTTCAAAAGTCCATAAAAATACATTTGGCAGACAGGTGTTTCAAGAGTCCATAAAATACAGTTGGCAGACAGGTGTTTTTGTTCGTTTGTTGTTTCTAGTGTTGTAAGTCCTCAGACATTCTGCTGTGCTACTGGGGGGGGGCAATAGATGTTCCAAAAGTCCATAAAAACACAGTTATATTATGTGAATGAAAAAATACACTTGTGAGACAGGAGTTTGATAAAAATTTATAACAGTTGAACAACACGAAGCAAAAGGTCAGAATGAAAGCTTCTTTATTCAATATAGTTTTTGTTCTGTACAGTAATTAATGCAGTTATGTTAAACTGTGATGATCATTATCACAAAAACACTGCAATCTAAGTACTGTAGTAAAATACATTAACTGTAAAATCAAATCCAGTCTGATCTGCGTTGGGGTTGACAGGCTTTTGATATTTGTTGAAATAATAAAGAGAAAGCAAAAATATTATATGTTCAAACACTATTATTTTTACAGAACCACTTGAAGGTTTTACTATTTAAAGAACCACGATCTAATAAATTTTACAAAACCACTTGAAGGTGTTACTATTTAAAGAACCACGATCTAATAGGTTTTACAGAAACTTTTGAAAGTATTACTATTCAAAGAACCACGATCTAATAAGTTTTACAGAAACGTTTGAATGGTTTCTGTAAAACCTATTAAATCGTGTTTCTTTGAATAGTAACATTTTGAAAGTATTACTATTCAAAGAGCCACAATTTAATAGGTTTTACAGAAACGTTTGAAGGTGTTACTATTCAAAGAGCCACAATCTAATAGGTTTTACAGAAACGCTTGAAGGTGTTACTATTCAAAGAACCACGATCTTATAGGTTTTACAGAAACTTTTGAAAGTGTTACTAATCAAATAACCACGATGAACTTTGCATGTGTCTTCCCGATGAACAAGATTAATGTAAAGGTACATAGACGTTGTGTTTGTTTGTTGTCTCATTTCAATCACTCGTACCTAGGGCAGACGTTAAATGTCTATTACTTGAAGGTTCGTAGAAAAACAGAGGTTCTTAATGAGAAGCTGTGTCGGTACATATTTGTACGATTTGTTTTTTTGTTTTTTTCTATCGTCACACATGTTTGTGATGGCGAAGTATTTTTTTTCTTGTTGTCTAAACATTACTAGTAACAGAGCCAATTCCATCGAGCAAAGTGAATGTTATCTTAATATTTGGAACTTTCAGGTCGATGGCTGGTCGAATCGTCGGAAGTGTCTGGTGGTTCTTTACCTTAATAATAATTTCATCCTACACTGCGAACCTTGCTGCATTCTTAACCGTGGAAAGAATGGTTACTCCTATTAATTCAGCGGAAGATTTGGCCAAGCAGACCGAGGTAGAATACGGCACCCTGATGTACTCTTCAACTCAGGAGTTTTTTAAGGTAAGTCATACACTGCTGTAGTTCAGGGATCTTATTTTATGTACTCTCCAACCCAGGAGTTTTAAAGGTAAGTCTTATATGCTGCGGCTAAGGGATTTGTTGTGTATCTTTAACCCTTCTTTTTAAAAATAAGTTATACATCATGTACTCTCCAACCCATGAGTTATAAAAAATAACTTATACATTATGTACTCTCCAACCCAAGAGTTTTAAAAAATAATTTATACATTATGTACTCTCCAACCCAAGAGTTTTAAAAAATAACTTATACATTATGTACTCTCCAACCAAAGAGTTTTTAAAAATAACTTATACATTATGTACTCTCCAACCCAAGAGTTTTAAAAAATAACTTATACGTTATGTACTCTCCAACCCAAGAGTTATAAAAAATAACTTATACATTATGTAATCTCCAACCCAAGAATTTTAAAAAATAACTTATACATTATATACTCTCCAACCCAAGAATTTTAAAAAATAACTTATACATTATTTACTCTCCAACCCAAGAATTTTAAGAAATGAGTTATACATTATTTACTCTCCAACCCAAGAATTTTAAGAAATGAGTTATACATTATGTATTTTTCATCCCAGGATTTTGTAGCTAAGGGAACTTATCTTATGTACTCTCCAACCCAGGAGTTTTATAAAATACGTTATACAATATGTTATACAGTGGCTGTAGCTAAAGGAAATTATCCATTATTGTCTGATAACTACAGAACAACGACTCTTTCTTAACTGCCTGATACGATGACAAAAAATGGAGTGAAACCCAAATACTTGTACTATAACGTTATCTTTCACAGTTGTATATCACTTGTCTGAGAATATAACTGTAGTAGAAGCTGGAATATTATTAACTGATATAAACACAATTAAAGTGGTATACCTGATACAGGGAAAAACTGTAATATTAACTGATATAACACACTTAAAGTGGTATACCTGATACAGGGAAGAACTGTAATATTAACTGATATAAACACACTTAAAGTAGTCCACTTGATACAGGGAAGAACTCTAATATTAACTGGTATAAACACACTTAAAGTGGTATACCTGATACAGGGAAGAACTCTAATATTAACTGGTATAAACACACTTAAAGTGGTATACCTGATAGAGGGAAGAACTGTTATATTAACTGATATAAACACATTTAAAGTGGTATACCTGATACAGGGAAAAACTGTAATATTAACTGATATAACACACTTAAAGTGGTATACCTGATATAAAAACTAATATTAACTGATATAACACACTTAAAGTGGTATACCTGATACAGGGAAGAACTGTAATATTAACTGATATAAACACACTTAAAGTAGTCCACCTGATACAGGGAAGAACTCTAATATTAACTGATATAAACACACTTAAAGTGGTATACCTGATACAGGGAATAACTGTAATATTAACTGATGTAAACACACTTAAAGTGGTATACCTGATACAGGGAATAACTGTTATATTAACTGATATAAACACACTTAAAGTGGTATACCTGATACAGGGAATAACTGTAATATTAACTGATATAAACACACTTAAAGTGGTACAACTGATACACTTACAGTAACATATCTGATACAAGACTAAACATACAAATAATACAAAGGTATTGGATTACATATAAATCAACCAATCAGCAGGTTTATAAAAATACCTGAATTGTCACGAGTCGCTAAATATCTGGTGTACTTAAACTGCCGGTTTCTAGTGCTAGCAGTCACCACATTCATTAATTTAACTCCTGTGTTAGAAGGCTTATCTTAGCCCAACACAGTCTTGTTTTTAATGTTCATTTGGGAGAGGTAGATTTGGACATCTTCATTAAAATGATGATTTCTAGCGAGCTTCGTATTACGAAGTATACCAAGTCACACACACACACACATATAAAGCTATTGGGGTATTACAAGAGAACAGATTACAAAAGGTCTATAAACCCACGACGGTTACGTTCTTTAATATTTTTCTCCAATTTAACAAAACACGTTGCTTTTGTTGCACACGAAGAAAGATATTGATTTTCCGAGAATAGAGCGGCACGTTTATGGAAATTAAAATAAGAAAAACCTAGTATAAAATGGGGTTAAGTCCCCATGAGCACTTGAAACTCGATATTTTCTGTAAAAGAATTTTTAATGAAGTCAGAAAGAAAAGAGATGAAATGAAGATTAAAGAAAACCAAGAATGATCTACACTGAAGTGATTAACATAACACTGAATAGAAGAAGGTTAACAACTTTGTGTTGATTTTCTGTAAAGACCTCAAACAAAAGAGATCATCTTTATCTTTTACAAAGTTTACTCTGATCCTAAAGTTAGTTGTCCGGCTGTTACATAGAGTTACAGTTGGTAACAAATTCAAACGAAGAATAACTGAGGGCAGCAGTGTAGAGCAAGTTAAACTATCATCAGTTTAGTTGGATCAAGAACCTTATATTGTTGATTTTAATAGTAGAAGTTAGAGTATAATTTATAGTAGGCTTAGTGTATTATAACTTATAATAGGCTTAGCGTATTATAACTTATAATAGGCTTAGCGTATTAGAACTTAAAGTAGGCTTAGCGTATTATAACTTAAAGTAGGCTTAGCGTATTATAACTTATGGCAGACTTAGCGTATTATAACTTAAAGTAGGCTTAGCGTATTATAACTTATGGTAGGCTTAGCGTATTATAACTTAAAGTAGGCTTAGCGTATTATAACTTATGGTAGGCTTAGCGTATTATAACTTAAAGTAGGCTTAGCGTATTATAACTTATAGTAGGCTTAGCGTATTATAACTTATAGTAAGCTTAGCGTATTATAACTCATAGTAGGCTTAATTATGACACACGAAGAACTATCATGTAAATACTGATGTAGATAAAACATGTAAAAAACTTGGATATAAACTGTGAACTAATTGTGATACGTGAAGAACTTGTATATAAACAATAAACCAGATGCGACACATGATTTACTTGTGTATAAACAGTGAACTAGATGTAACACATGAAGAACGAGAGTGCTACTACAGATTTCTAATTACTGTTTTATGCATGAAAAAAAAACTCACCCATTATTTACAAGCAAGCCATAGATTAACGTTTGTTTTCCAGCGTTCCAAAATCGCCGTGTATGCCCGGATGTGGGAGTTTATGAACTCGAGGAAGCACGTGTTTACATCTTCTTATGACGAGGGTATCAGACGAGTCCGAGAGTCCAAAGGCAAGTATGCCTTCCTTCTGGAGTCCACTACTAACGATTATATTAACGAGCGGCAGCCGTGCGACACGATGAAAGTAGGAAGAAACCTGGATGCCAAGGGTTTCGGAGTGTCCACTCCACTAGGATCTAACCTTAGGTGAGAAAGTCTGGTTTACGTAACAAATATTGTCCTCCGGTGGAACAGCTGTAAGTCTACGGGTTCGATTCCACAGCGGCATACACAAAAGATAGCCCTAAATGGCTTTGTTCTAAAATGATCAATCAATCAATCGTGATAAATATCATAGTGAAAAACTAATTATTGTTTGACTCAGATCCTAATCGAGCATAATAGACATTAATTAAAATATAACGATGCATATAACTAAACATTTTGGTTATTATTTAAGGAGTTGTGACGGAAATAATAAACACCTGCTAAACATTGGTTAATGGTGTGTGTACCAGTCTTAATCTGAACAGACGTTAGTGTGTAATGATGAACATAATCAGACATCAGTTGTACATACGTTGATGTGTAATGATGAACATAATCAGACATCAGTTATACAGATGTTGATGTGTAATGGTGAACATAATCAGACATCAGTTGTAGATATGTTGGTGTGTAATGATGAATATAATCAGACATCAGTTGTACAGATGTTGATGTGTAATGATGAACATAATCAGACATCAGTTGTACATATGTTGATGTGTAATGATGAACATAATCAGACATCAGTTGTACATACTGATGTCTGATTATGTTCATCATTACACATCAACATCTGTACAACTGATGTCTGATTATGTTCATCATTACACATCAACGTTGTACATATGTTGGTGTGTAATGATGAATATAATCAGACATCAGTTGTACAGATGTTGATGTGTAATGATGAACATAATCAACATCAGTTGTACAGATGATGATATGTAATGATGAACATAATCAGACATCAGTTGTACAGATGATGATGTGTAATGATGAACATAATCAGACATCAGTTGTACAGATGTTGATGTGTAATGATGTTTTTTACATTTACATTCTGGAAGAAAGTGTTCGTTGAGTAAACGCACTTTATGGTTTATTTTTTATTTTTTGTTAAACGATGAACAGAAAGTAGATGTATTTGTTAAAATCTTCGCGAATAAAACTGAAATTTAACCTTGAACGTAAGTTAAGGTTCATGCCTTTCTCTCTAAAAACAACAAAGCACAATGTTACAGAATGGGCTATCTGTAGTGTGCCCACCGCGTGTATCGAAACCTGGTTTTTAATTTTTTTTTTGCACAGGCTTTTCGAGCTTGTGCATTCGTTAATCTTTAGTTGTGCGTAGCAAAATAACCTAGAAATTAGTTGTTTGGAAAGTTTAACATGATGTTTTAGCTGTTGGTCACAGAATCAAAGAATTAACTGGACAGTTCTTGAAATAGGAATTCAGTTTTAAATGTTGTTTGTTTCCAGAGATCGACTTAACTTGGCAGTTTTGTCACTCAAAGAAAATGGAGACCTGGCTCGTTTGAAGAACAAATGGTGGTACGATCGTAGTGAATGTACAAGTGACAGTGGAAAAGTAAGTAGTGGTGTGTAAATATATGTAGTGGCTGTACAAGTGACAAAAGCTAATCAGATTATTATACAGTTATTTGTACCATTTCAGCTTTGTATTTCTTAGGAATTAACACTAACACAAAACAGCTCTCTAACATTTATTGTTTAAATTTCCAGTAAATACCTGTTTATAAACAAACTCATCTAAAGAAATGATTTATCTTATCGCTTTCATTGCTGCCATCTATCGAAAGTAATGGAAACTATTCAGAAAACTGACTTTCCTATATTGTTGATCTAATGATGATGAATGTCATAAATAGTTTATTTATCGGGTTTTACAGCTTTTCCACTGTCACTTGTACAGCCACTACATATATTTACACACCACTACTTACTTTTCCGCTGTCACTTGTACAGCCACTACATATATTTACACACCACTACTTACTTTTCCACTGTCACTTGTACAGCCACTACATATATTTACACACCACTATTTACTTTTCCACAAATTAGAGTTTTTTATTTCGTCCAAAAGAGTGTTTCTTTGTTTTGATTTGTTTTTCCACTTTTCACTTCTTTCTTCCAGGATTCCTCCCAGAATGAACTTACTTTAAGCAACGTAGCTGGCTGTTTCTTCATCCTGATTGGTGGATTAGTTCTCGCAATACTCGTAGCTTTACTTGAGTTCTGCTACAAATCCAAAACTGAGGCATCTCGTTCAAAGGTCATTCATATATGTTCATACATTAGAAATAGTCCAGAAAAGTGCTTTGGGTTCAAAGGTCATTTAAGTATGTTTATACATTAAAAATAGTCCAGAAAAGTGATTTCGGTTCAAAGGTCATTCATATATGTTCATACCTTAAAAATAGTCCAGAAAAGTGCTTTTGGTTCAAATGCCATCATATATGTTCATACATTAGAAATAGTCCAGAGAAGTGCTTTGGGTTCAAAGGCCATTCATATACATTCACTTCGGAAAATCGTACCTATCTTTTGTGAAACTTTGAAACATTCTATTTTGAGAAAGACTATCTTAAAAATCATCAAAACTATCCGTAAATATACAAAAAGAAGACATTAATATTTTAAATAATATATCATCAAGTCTGGTTCAAACGTTTCAAGGATTTCCAAAAATATTACTGGAGAATATGTGTAACATTATTACAAAACAATCTTATCCAGTTATATCACTAACACATTGTTGGATTCATAGTACGATAATATAGGTAACATTGTTACAAAACAATCTTATCCAGTTATATCACTGACACATTGTTGGATTTATAGGACGATAATATATGTAACATTATTACATAACAATCTTATCCAGTTATATCACTGACACATTGTTGGATTCATAGGACGATAATATATGTAACATTATTACATAACAATCTTATCCAGTTATATCACTAACACATTGTTGGATTTATAGGACGATAATATATGTAACATTATTACAAACCAATCTTATCCAGTTATATCACTGACACATTGTTGGATTTATAGGACGATAATATATGTAACATTGTTACAAAACAATCTTATCCAGTTATATCACTAACACGTTGTTGGATTTATAGGACGATAATATATGTAACATTGTTACAAAACAATCTTATCCAGTTATATCACTAACACGTTGTTGGATTTATAGGACGATAATATATGTAACATTGTTACAAAACAATCTTATCCAGTTATATCACTAACATAGTGTTGGATTTATAGGACGATCATATATGTAACATTGTTACAAAACAATCTTATCCAGTTATATCACTGACACATTGTTGGATTTTTAGGACGATAATATATGTAACATTGTTACAAAACAATCTTATCCAGTTATATCACTGACACATTGTTAGATTTATAGGACGATACGTTAGATTGTACATCAATTCATCTGGTTATAGATAAAAAATACTTCTTAAACTGACTGATAAACCGGAGCACAGGTGAGCAGAAGTTCCAGTAATTTTTCTGATATCCACAGATTAGCATATGCGAAGCAATGAAGTCCAAGCTACAGATATCTCTGACTGGGAATCATTATGAAGGACGAGGAAGGACGGCTTCTCTATAGGTCGGTAGAAAGTTTGTTGTTTGTAAATAATTTGTTATTTGTTAATATTACGTTGTTCAGTTCTACACTGTTGTTTGCTAAGTTGTTTAGTTCTACACTGTTATTTGTTAATATTACGTTGTTCAGTTCTACACTGTTATTTGTTAATATTACGTTGTTCAGTTATACATTGTCGTTTGTTAAGTTGTTCAGTTCTACACTGTTGTTTGTTGAGTTGTTTAGTTATATACTGTTGTTTGTTAAGTTGTTCAGTTATACACTGTTGTTTGTTAATATCACCAGTTGTACATTGTTGTTTGTTAAGTTGTTCAGTTATACACTGTTGTTTGTTAAGTTGTTCAGTTATACACTGTTGTTTGTTAAGTTGTTCAGTTATACACTGTTGTTTGTTAATATCACTAGTTGTACATTGTTGTTTGTTAAGTTGTTCAGTTATACACTGTTATTTGTTAAGTTGTTCAGTTATACACTGTTGTTTGTTAATATCACCAGTTGTACATTGTTGTTTGTTAAGTTGTTCAGTTATACACTGTTGTTTGTTAATATCACTAGTTGTACATTGTTGTTTGTTAAGTTGTTCAGTTATACACTGTTGTTTGTTAAGTTGTTCAGTTGTACAATTTGTGCTAGCTATTCTTTATTTTAGTTGTATCTTTCAGTTTCGTCCCCAGTGACTGCCTATAACGGGATGACCGATTCGCTACACACCCAAGTTTAATGTAAAGAAGAGTTTAAGAAAGATGAAGAACACCAAGTTAAAACACCAAGTTTATGGTATATTAATTGAACATTCTCTGTATTTTGGAAGATTTTCTCACCTAATTACTTTTTTTTGAACACATATATATAATATTCTGTGTGTTTGGATTCACCAATATGGACCACCGTGTTCTCCAATGGATCTTAATTTTCTGCATTTAGTAATTCTGATTTAATTATATCCGACAGTTCTATTGTAGTGCTATAATACGTCTTTTACGAAAAATAACAACAACAGGAAAATCTCAAATAAACTTTATGAAATACATCTGAATGCTTATTTTGTGTAAATACATTATTATAACTCATAGTTAGTGTTAACATGTGGTAATAGTGTGTTCATACTAACACACTAGTAATGTTAAGATGTGGTAATAGTGTGTTCACATTAACACACAAGTAATGTTAAGATGTGGTAATAGTGTGTTCACACTAACACACAAGGAGTGTTAACATGTGGTAATAGTGTGTTCACACTAACACATAAGGAGTGTTAACATGTGGTAATAGTGTGTTTACACTAACACACAAGTAATGTTAAGATGT